CCCCAAATGATTCAGAAGTATTTGATTTCATTTATCTAGTTTCATCCGGATTCGAACTCAGGGCTGCATTTCAACACATTTATGGGTGCACCAAYTGAGCTAGGCCTGTTGGTGTCTCCATAATTTTCTTTTGTGTTTTTTCTTCAGGCGAAGAAAATGTTCAAAAAACTGCATAAGCAAAGCAGAAGAAAAGTTCCAAGTTGATCAAGATTCCTTTCTTTCTTTCCATTTATCTTCCTGAATCCTGAATGAATTTCAATGAAATGTTTTTTCCTTTTCTTTCTAAATGAAATTCTTTCCTTTTCTTTCTAAATGAAATTCTTTCATTTTCTTTCTAAATGAAATTCTTTCCTTTTCTTTCTAAATGAAATTCTTTCTTTTTCTTTCTAGAATCTAAATGAAATTCTTTCTTGTTTTTTCCTGTTCTTTCGAAATAAAACCAACCATAGTTAGGTTCATCAAGCTTCATCTTTAGGGGCAGATGCACAAGTCAAGGCATGAGAAACTAACATAAGTTGTTTTGTGATTCTCTACAGGCAAAAACCTAAAAGGACAAAGCAGGAGAAATGCAAGCGGGGGGACCGGTTGGCTCAGGCCTTGCTGAGTGAGGGAAAGCCAATGACAAGGGAGAGGTAGTAACCCAGAGCTGTCCTCGTGCGACTCGAACACCTGCTGCAAATGTAGTCGGATTCGTTCATAATATCATGTGCTGCATGTGCCCAAACTTCCCAAAGTCGACTCGACCCAAGACATACAGCCGCGAAAACAACCGCGAGGCAGCGAGTTCYGCAAAGCTGCTCACAATAGYTGTGGAAATTCCTGCTCGTCATTTTTTTGATCCCAGTGTTATGCAGCYCTGTRCTTCGATGTGGAGCCATAGCAGTGTGCATGCTCTTGTAGTTGTGAAGTTTATGAGGAGGCGCAAACTGTCAGAACAGGTATAGCTGGAGCCGTACCACTTTTCAGAGCACAACGATGTCATGCATAGCCGGGATAACCAGCATGCGGGAAATGCCCGCGAATTGTTATCGACTGAATCCGATCTCTTGTGTGGACGCTCGGGAAGGGTTTCCTACTGGGGGGGTAAGGAAAGATGGCAGTCGCGGTCATACCATGCGAATGCTCGTCACGTAGTTGAGGGTTGCAGGGGTTTCAAGACCCTTACCGCAACTGTGTACCCTCATTTCACTCAGTCTGGACACTAGTTGCAACTGAATGGTGGTGGCAAGCTGAAGAATGGGTGGAGACCTTTCTTTGGGTGCAGTGAGCGAAGGCTGGAAACAGATGTGCGCCCTTGTCATTCAGCCTCTTCGAGGAGGAACAATTCTCTCGGAGAGGGGGGAGTACAAAGAGTTGCTGGCCCGATACGCTTGGTAGTTTGCGATGACCGGCGGGATGATATAAGGGGTCATTCTCGAAGGTTCTATGCCACGAGCAACAACACCACTGGCGCATGCAGCTCTGCTGAATGGTGGGCGTTCCTTGGAAGGAGGGGCAAGGGAGGTAGTCGTCGACACCAATGTTTACGGGCATCACCATTCTCAAACCCTCAGTCAAAGAATGACATGCACTTTCCTTTGTCTTTGACTTGTTGTGCAAGAAGGCTCGAGCACGTGACTTCTTTCGGTGCCGTCACTGGTTGCGAGGAGTCAGTGGGCTTGGAGAGAGCTGATGGGCCTAAGGAGTCTGGGGATAAGCTCAGTTCCTGTGGAGACTCGGAGACAGGGCTTTGGAGCATCGTCATCCCCACTTATAATCGACTGCCCATCCTCACCAAGTGTCTTCGTGCACTGGAGCATCAAGTCGATGCCACTGAGCATGGCATTAAGGTGTATAAGGTTGTCGTCGTCGATGATGGGTCAGACGATGGCACAGTGGAGTTCTTGCAAACGAGGGAGGGCGAGTTTCAGCACGTTCGTCTGCTTCAGCAGAAGCATGCTGGCGCAGCAGCAGCTCGAAACATGGGTGTGGCGGATGCACGGGGAGAAGTGATCGTCTTCATTGACTCTGACCTGGTGGTGACAGTGAACTTTCTACAATCTCATGCCAAAATGCTTCGCAGTGCTCGCAATGAAGATGGTGATGATCGATCGTTCACCTATGGCCGCGTGGTGAACACCAGCAACTTCGACTACCCGGAGTCAGAGCCCTTCAAAATTAGCGACTTTTCTGCTGCGTTCTTCACTTCTGGGAACGTGGCGATCTCTCGCCGCCGACTCCTGGATGCTTCCGACGCGCTTCCAACCTCTACAACAGCAGTTGTGGCCCTTATGACACCTCTTTCAGTGAGTACGGATGGGAAAACCTAGAACTTGGCGAACGACTCCGGCAAAAAAGCGCAAAGCTACGGGCTTGCCCTGAGGCTGTTGGTTACCATTGGCACCCCCCCTTCGACATCTCTCAGCTTCCTTCACTTATCGAGCAAGAGAGGCAAAGAGTGAGGAATGGCGTACAATTCTATCGGAAACATCCCAACTTGAATATTCGATTGGTGATGCAGATGACCTTGTTCCATCAGGCCATCTTGTTTGTACTCACCATAGGTGGGTTGATAAATGAAAGGACAATGGAACCCCTATTGTATTTTTTTGTCAATGTGGGGGTGCCTCGTCTTGCAGCAGCGTTGACAAGCCCAATTTTGAACTGGCACACTGCGCAAGCTGTGCGGCAAGAGGTCAGAAGAATAAAGCAAGCAGGGGGTAGGTTGTGAAGCACGATGGATGTTACGCTGTCGTCTCTCAGCCACTGTTTTGTCAGAATTTCATAACAATTATATGGTTGGAGGTCCTTTCCAACTTCATGTCACACAGTCACAGTTCGCAAATCGTATAGAAATTAATGTTGTTATTCTTTAGAATCCTTCGAGGTATGTTTACCGACCGTATCTGTCTTTATTTTATTGATGTATCACATAGGAAGGAAGTCGCTTGTTTTTCGTACTTTCTCGTTTTCGCTGGGATGTCCTTGCTTCTCCTTGTGGATGGGATAATTGCTGGTCAAGCATGTCAGGTAAGAAGTTAACCACTACTCACTGATAATGTAGTCGTTGGAAGAAAGGAAAGAATCGCAAAAAAAAAACAAAAATGAAGGTGCGCAATGACACTTGACCATGGCCCCACAGATTCTATCTTCTGGTAGTCGTTCGTGACACACTTTGCCGTTCATTACGACTTCTGGTAGTTGTTCCCGAGGCACCTCGACAGTGAATTATGTCTTCAGAACCGGTTGTTTTTCCTCTCATAGCTTTTCTGTCCTTTCTGTTCGTCCTTTCTTCTCTTTCTTTCTATTCCTCCTTTCTTCTCTTTCATTCAGTTCCTCCTTTCTTCTCTTTCTTTCTGTTCCTCCCTTCTTTTCTTCCTTTCTTCTCCTCCTCCCTTCTCCTTCTCTCCCGTCCTCTCCTCATCTCTTTGACTTCTTTTCTTGCACTTCTTTCTTCGACGACTTCTCAGTCATTTGATTGTATGCGAGCCTGAGGCCTAGCCATTGAAGGTCTGTGTTTTTTTTTTCTTCCCCCCACTCATTTCTGGATTTAATGTGTGTCATCCTTGTGCAAGGGTCATTTTTGCTAGCCACTTTGTAAGGTATTTATTTAATTTTATTACTATTTTGATCATCTTTGTAAGGTATTTGACATTTGTTACAACTTTGATCACCTGCTTCTGTGAAACTTGTCTGACTTTGCGGCAATCCTTTTCCCTATCTAACAGTCTGTCAGTGAGAATATGTCCATTGTCCACTCCTTGTGACTGATCCCGTCTAACCCGCTTTTTTGTTTTTGTATAAAGGCTAATTATTTTTAAGCCCAACAAATTCAATTACCCGTCGAAGTTGGACAGGACAACCTTTCATGCCTTTTTTATTGTCATTATAGTATTATATTACAGGGAACCCCGTAGCATCCACATCCTTGTTCAAGCCTCCAACGAGGGAAGATGTGGGAGTTGCAGCCACCAGCAGGTGCGATACCTGCTACAGCAGGTGGGTGATACCGACCAGGGGTCAGCCGGTAGCATCAGGAGATAATTTGTTTGACGGTCCAGTTGTTGTGCGTCCCCTCCGGGCCCCTCCCCTTACCAACATCAGCAGCCTTTACTTAATATGCCGCCAGAGGGTCCTATCTCTAGGTGGCAGACATAAAGCTTGCCCAGGAAGGTACATGAGGCCAATGGGGATTGAACCCAAGACCTCCTGAATGCCACTTGTGTGCCTTATGAACTGAGCTAGGCCGCTGGATCATCCAGGCCCTTTTACGCATATGGCAAGGATTCAGTCACCGTCAAAGGGATGTTGAACCAAATGTGGACCAAGGGTCCCGGTCCGTTGTCCAAGACTGACTGGTAGCTGGGGCCTTGCGCTAATTTCGCAGCTAAGTTTGAACTAGCAGTGCATTTTGTTATAAGAAAGTCACATCCATTTGAACTTGACTCATACCTAGGGTCTTCATTGACAGCCACCACCGGCTAAAGTGCATGTCCCGGTGTGGCAAGCAACTATACATAATTCCATGATTGCCATTCAAACACTGATGTAGATACGAGTCGTATGACAAACTGCTACTGGCGGTACCTCAATCGTTTCAATCATAGACTCCCTGCACAATTGTCATCATGATATAAGGGGAAATTGAAAGGAGACTGAGGAAGAAGCAGCACAAGTAATGTGGAAAGAATAAAAATGGAAAACAAGGTGGTGACCGATTGTTTAGTTGGACTGTCACTGACTCGTGAGGTGGTTGAACCCCCAACAGTCTGCAGAATCCCGGTGCTGACACTTTGAGTCGTAATCCACTTCAATCCCTGATGAAAAATTTAATTGTTTAATGGTATGAAAGTTGCTCCTGCTATTCAGCCTAGGGCCTTGAGTATTGTACAAGGACGTGCTGTAGGAGTAGCTCATTACCTCCTAGGTGGAATTGCCACAACATGGGCATTCTTCCTAGCAAGAATTATTTCAGTAGCGTAAATTGAATCACCTATTTTTAAAGTAAAAATCACTTTTTTTTCTTTTTTTCTTGCCAATATTATTTTTTATTTTTTTTTTATTGGAAGATAGTAACTATTTAAAGCAATATAAATAGAGAAAATATATATTGTCTATTGTATATTTAATAGAGATTGTATTTGTTATCTATGTGTAATGAAATAATGAATTTTATACAATATATATATTGTATAAAATATATATATTGTATAAATACTTTTCTACCAATCTTTGACGTTTTTTATTTCGCCTTAGTGATCCGACGGTACCGAGTGGAAGGGCCGTCGCTCAACGGATAAAAGTTACTCTAGGGATAACAGGCTGATCTTCCCCAAGAGTTCTTGATTTTGTAGAATCTAATATGATTTTTTTACTATATTCTTTATTGTATATTCTATTATATTTGATCTCATAGTTATATTCTTATTTATTTCATTTCAAGTGAAAGATATACAATATGATAATTATTATTATAATGATAATTATCATATATTGGATATCTATAATATGATCTGGATGTTTATACCATACAAAATATGTTTAGTACCATTTATACATATATATATCTATTTTTACTAAATTATTTATAAATTATATACAATAGATGTATACTAAAAAGAATATAGGTATAAATATAGGAGCTATAAATATAGAAAATTGATCACACTATTGATAAATTGATTTGATTTTATTACATGAATTCTATATTATGTAAATTGAGAATGGAATCAATTTTGTTGAACTAGAACAGAGGATAAATAATAGAATAAATACACTGAGTTATATTCATTGATATTAATACAATACTAGATTTGGGTAGTCAAGCAGGTGACAGCACAAGTAGCAAGGCGAAGCAGGCAGCAGTAAATCAAAGGGTCGACGCAAAGGCAAATGACAAAGCAAGAAAAGGTAAGTAATGGCCGGTGTAGGGCCCCACACTGATAGACTTTCGAGCCTTATTCGACCCTTCAGCGGGTCTCAGTTAGTTCGGCTCCACCCATGCTCATGCTCAGGGCGCGGAGCCATTCGTCACAGGGTCACCCTCACCTAGTGCTTTGAGATGGATGGGGGTGGGCCAATTAGCGAAAGAGCGTTGACATTGGGGATGTAGCTCAACTCTCGTGCTAGGCAGGTAATCTCGTTTATCCTTCGCATGCTTCATTGTGTTCTCATGCAATTGCTCCTTTCAATACTCATGCAGTCCAGGGATTCTTGGAAGATTCATCTAACTTCATGCGAAGGCCAAGAGTCCTCCTTGGGCCACACGTCCATTCACTAATTGCGGGGACTAACGGCTTCATCGCGGTAGAGGGACGCCCCTCGGCTTAGGCCCGTGGACTAACTCGCGTTGACACCTATCGCCTCACTAGGGCGCCCTCAGCTTCATCCTTTAGCCGATCTATGTGTTGGCTTTCTCTATCTCATGCATCATACATCATATCTTGTTGCTTTCATATACACCCCTTAGTCTTTTCGGGGCCCCGCCCACACTTTCATGTGACTTGGTGGCCCCCTCGGCCACTTGTTGCTTTCGCAGACTTTCAACCATTCAGACCACATTTCTTTTCACAAACGGGAGAATATGCTCAATAGACTCATTCATCGGGGAGGGTGAAATTCACAATCCATTTAGCTGCTGTCCCTTTTCCCCGCCCGGCCTCCCTGGGCTCTACCCARCTCAAGGCATTCTAAGGTTACTTACCTGCACACTCAATGCAATATACACAAGCACAACCCCCGTGAGGCGCCAACACATAATCCCTCCCACGTGCTTATTTTTTTTGTCCCCTAGTTACTTCCTTTTCCATTCCTTTGTCAAAACCATCATCTTTTCTTTCTCATGCAGTCCGGGTGGTGGTCGAGTCCACTGACCTTTCTTTCACTCCACGAGTTTTTTCAAGCCTCAGAACTTGCCAATCCTCAAGTCTCTGTGAATCCTCAAGTCTTTTGAGCTCACWGGCCTTCCCAATCCTCAAACATTTTTCTTTGTTMGTGGCGCAAGGAACCAGCAACCCTCCCCTTGCCCTCTCTTTCCACCAAGTGAGGCCAAAGGTCTTTCACCGTTCATCCCCTGACAATGTGACAAGTGAGTGGATAAGGGTTAGTCACATGCCAAAAGGAAAAGGGAGAAGAGGGTTAAGATTAGACTTAGAGTATGGGAGGGATAGATGAGGGGGAGTCGGCAAATATATATACATATATATATATATATATATATA